ACTGTTAGTCATGCTACAAAACCATTCAATTGTAACTAAACATCTATAGTATAGGTTTATATAAACTCCCATTTCCAGAAATTAAGAAAGAAAACCCTTCCTTCCTTCCTTCCTAATCCTAGGATTAAAGGACAGCCTATTGAAATTCGTTTTGCTCCTTATGCCTTCTCCAGTGCTTACCCCTGCACCTAAACTGAGCAGAAGACCAAACGTCTTGTTTACAACTCCAACTAAGCCTATAGTTAAAATAGATATCAAAAAAAAAAAATCAAAACCAAGCCAAACATTAAAAGGAAAAGATAATGAGACACACATGGCAATATCTAGCGCTATATGATGGAAAGGTTGTAACAATAGAGAATTTCCTAGTTTCAGGAAAGAGCTCACTTTGCATTGATATCTGCTCAAATATTTACATCTATTGCAGCCTTGCAAGCACAGATTTTGCACTTTAACATTTGAGGCATTTTATGTGTGTTATGAGAAAAACCTTTGTAATCACAAGTAAGATTAAAATACTGTAAGCTTTCACAGTCTTGTTACAATAGCAGCTAAAAATCAAAGCCACACCCAAACTATTTTTGCTGATGCATCATGAAGTAAATGACGCAGGATTTCTCCATTAGAGGTGGGGGCTTCCCACACCCAACTTTCTTTCCTACCATAACATTCACTACCTTGTCACCCCCTGCTCCAGCCACAGCTAACTGAGCAGATCAACAGTAAAAGCAGGATTTAATGCCAGTGCACACAATAAGAGGTTAAAAGAGCTCTTCTTAAAATACTGAAAGGCTTTTTTTCCCCCCCCCCCCCAAAGCTGCTGGTTTTAATGTGCCAAGAACATCACGGGAGCTTAAACCACTTCCAAAATACTGACAACTTACTAATTCTCAGTTAAAAAAAAAAAAATTAAGCATTCCTACCACAGTGACAGCAAAGGCTAAGATGAGCTTAACAGGTGGCTAAACTCAAAATAAAATAAACAGTATTCAAATCTCCTTCTCTATCTCTCAAAATATTAAAAAGATTTTTAAAAGTGGAGGTAAAACTTACAGAGAGTGCGATCTTTGTCTCCTGGAACAGGGCATTCCACTTTTCTCTTCTGTACTGCTCCCAGGCATCTGACAGTCTCTCTCCCACCTCCCCATTTCTTTCCACTTGTCCCTCCAGGATGGCCCAAGGAGAGGATGAGAAGCAGCAGTCACTGTAATTGCACCTGTGCTCTTGCACAGTAGCATTTTCCTGACAGCATCAGCGCATGCAGTTTGAAACTTCCCAGGACTGTGCAATTCCTCCTGACTAATGTGGCTTTATAACTGGGGGAAGGGAGAAGAGGATGACAGATTGTTAAAGGCTTTTAAAAAGATACCGCTGGAAGGAATTACTGCACATCGATATTATATGAAGCCATTAATAAGACTTTCCAAGCAACAGTATTTAAAAGCCTTGGTCACATTCTGCTAGCTGGAGCCACCTCCTCCTCCGATGTGACTGAAATCCAGCCAATGGCTGACACGGCTAATATTAGACAATGACTTCAAGACAGTGAAAGAGTCCTTTACATTTTCTACGCCGTTTTGACCGTAATGGTAGCATAGACTTTGGTTTCTCTAGTCCTGGAGTATCATGTGATTTAGAAGCAGTTTGAGAACTACTTTGAAGCCATTAATCTATTACTGTTCCTGAAAATCTTCTGATGCACATACTAGGCAGAGCTCTGGAACTCAGTGGCAATGAGAGCTTTGGACTATTCCTCCGTTCAAAAGTGGGCCCGCAGAACATAGGAAAAGCTGAGCAGAACCTTTCTGACTAGGACAGAGGTGAAAAATACCAGAAAAATTTAGAGTAAAAGTGGTAAACATATCTTCACTGGAGAACAGAGTAACAGGCACTGTTGGCCAGCGACAAAATCTGTACCTGGAGCTTTGGGTGGGAAGTCACTGACCACGCAAGTCACTGTACTCAGTCGATACAGAAAGAACAGAGTTTGCTTTATACTCCTCAGCAGCAGCTCACAGATTTTACCCTTCATTTACATTCAAAATAAATTAATAAAATTAATATATCTACTTGGTAAACTAATGGCATGTCTAGTGAAACATTCAGAAAATCTCTTTAAAACGACAGCTCCAAGGAATTAACATTTTTATCTGCTGTAAATCATGTTAATTCTGATACTTAATGATAACACATTACTAGTAAACATTCTGATTGAATTGCAAAGCATCCAAGAAATAAGATACAGTCACGTTACGAAGACTAAACAAAAAAGTACAGTGAGCAATTTTTTATTCAGGTGTCTCAAGGAAGCAGATTCATGATTTAAACTTGTGAGAACAGTAAGGCAATACTAATGCTTCCATAAACGTGACCCAAAGCAGTTAATAGAGAGGAGGATTCCAAAACTGTGGAACAACAGACCTCAAAGGTTTACTGTGGATCATCATGTACTTCTGTCTTCAAATTTTTAATTAAAAATAATAAAGGCAATATAGGTTCACACATCACTTAAGAACTACTGGCACACAGAAATGAAGTTTAAAAGATTTTTTAGCAAAAGGCCAAAACGCAGATTCTCAATAGAGTTTTCAAACTATATTACTGTAATAATGACAGTAATGCCCATGAAAAATATAACCAGCTCACTACAAGTATAGAAAAACAACTATATTATATGCCAAAATGTTTAACTCAGCAATAAGCAGTGTGCTGCAAATGGCCAACGTTTACAGTTGCAATTGTCAGCTATTCCAATGGACTGCACAAAACGCAAATCAAAACGTGTAAGTGATCTCCAGAGAAAGAGGTCAAGTTATTTTATTGCTGACCCTTTCCAAAGGGAAGGGGAAGAGTCTTGGAACAACTGACCAGCAGTTTATATTATATTGCTTCCAGGCTTTCCTACATTTTCTTCACTGCTGAAAAAAACCTATCATTCTTCAAGAGTCTGAATTTTCATCTGCCAGCATTTACAGGGCTGACAGCTTGAAAGCTAGTAAATTTTACAAAATTGATATACTGAAGTGCTACATTTGCTTCTTAATCTTCCTGCCAATTTTTGTAGTTTTACAGTGATGCTGCCCAGTATTTTAAATATGGGTTGTGGAATCTTTGATCCTAATGGTAGATATTTATGGCCCAAAGAGTATTTCTTTGTATATGTTTGGATAATATGTTCTCTAAAAATGCCTGATGAGTTTACCTGGTCTCCAAAACCAGAAGGTTCTTTGCACAGCTTTAAACTTGTAGTTTCCTCTATTTTCTCTCCAGTATCACCTGCCTTCTGGTTACACGAGGAAAAGAGAGGACAGCCTGTCCTCCTTCCCTCTTAGCAGAGGGCTGAGTTATCTGAACTAGCCCATTTACCACTAGTTCAGGGGGCTCTACACTACATTAAAATTTGAAGTACAGATATATCCCCAGGCTGCAGTTACATGCTCAATTTATTCTGACATTAAGAGCGGGTGCTGTACCATTTTAGTACACTAGCGGTAATATTTATATAGTCAAGCGAGAAGGAACAAGGAATTGATTTGCTGGGGCGGGGAGAATTTCTCTTAGTCAGGTTAGCTTACAGTCAAATCAGTCTCCTGAGCCAGCTCACCCAGCACTGCCCATAAATGCTAGCGCCAGCGTAAGGAAGAGGGTGGGAACAAGCAGCTAAAGAGAAGGAAAGTACAAACACCTCTTCTGGCAACAGCGCACACTGAAGGCAGACAAAGCAGAGTCCCAAACACAGCCTATCAAAATGATAGGTAAAGTGTGGTTTTGACAGAACTGGCTATTTAAAAATGGCTTTATTTCATTTTATGTATATAAAATAAGAGCAATACATCTTTATTAAACCCAATATTTGGTAAGAAAAATTCTGTTGAGGGAGTATTATAGGTGCCACCATTGAGGCCATGTGAATAGCCTATTTCAGATCCTTTTTTCATTATTTACAACTCCTGAGATATTCATTTTTATAATAAAACATTTCTAAGCCTCACGCTTGTCAAAATCACAACTTTTGAAGTTCTAAAGCATTCATGGTTTTGAATGGATGTGACATAATAATTTCAACACAACAAAGTTTCTGAGGTTAGGTTTTCTGGGTTTTGTTTGTTTGTGTTTTAAACAAAATAACAATTCTAGAATAGCTCAGTTTGGGTGGAGAAAATATTTATGAAAATAAACACCACTGAGTGTTTTGATAAAAGTTAATTTTGGTTTGGATGGCTTCAAATGAGGATTTGAACACCTCAGTTTGGTGATGGAGGGGTTTAGCACCAATATTTTAAGCCAAGAATTACCATGTTTTAGATATGTTTGGCTATTGTAGGTATGAGAGAATAAATCATCTAAAGAATGTTTTGAACATAGTTGTTTTATGCTGGCAAACAGTAGTGCCTTTTGCTGGCATTCCTCTTAAAACTTACAGAAATCTGTATATCAGACTGTTAATGAAGCATACGTTCTCCAGGCTACTCAGTACTACGCAGCATATTGGCTTGTTGCCTAAATATGCAGTGAGAGTAATCTTTTCGAACCTATTACATTTGAACACATTATCATGTTGCCAGTTATTTCCAAAGAGCTTTTGTCCTATGCCCTGCCTAAATGGACTCTACCATTAGATACCCCCTCTACTGAACCTATAGTGCTTTCTCTCCCTTCCTCTTGGGATGGTGCGCTGCTTGGAAAACACTTCTCTTATTGTCCTTAGGACTGATTTCTCATGTTAACATCTTCCACTTCAGCAAACAGACAAAGAATACAGATCATGTCCCTCCTAGCTAGAAAGGGTAATTCCATTTCTGTGCAGTGGTATTTTCCCCCAGGGATGGGAATATGACTGCTTGAGCAAGGGCTGGCTGTGAAATGAAGCACCTAATATACATTCAGAATCTTTGTTCTAGTTCTCTGGGTTCCAACTCTAGATGCTTAATCCAGGTTTGGTAAAACTTTGTTCGATACATTATAAAGCTCTGAATTCAGACATGAGATTTTGACTCTCTCTGCATTCATCCTCAGCTTATTTTATTTTTTAAATACAGGTTAGTATGACTTCTGAGATTTGGTGCAGACAGGGAAGCAAAGGAAACTTATTTTGGTCATTTGGTATTTTTTGCCCATTTGCAAGAAACAAAGTTGGGAAAGAACACATATTGTATTTTTCATTTTGGGACTTCTAAAGCGACAAACAATGAATACTAGTTTTAAAAAGTCTGCAGCCATACTGCTGATCATGTCATTTCCTGTAGATCTACAATAAAGCTTAGATTCAACAGTGACACTACCATCATGAGAGTCAGCGAGCCTTTGGTGGGGCTATTCCTTAACACATACTTCCATTAGTACTGAGAGAGTGAATAGCAACGTTAGTAACCTACCTGAAGAGTATGTGTATGCAACTGTTTCTAGCAAGGCCACAAGAATTAATTGCAAGAGACAATGTCTCCAGTGAAGAAGGCTTTTTGTTCCTAAAAAAATAATGACATTTTAAACGCAAATTCAGTGATCCTATGCTCAAAAAAAAAAAGTTTATAGTTCTGTGAATAACAGGGACTGTGTGCAACTGGGTACTTGCACCACCCTTCAGTCCACTTACATACTACTACCCTGAAAAAGCTTTCCAAAAATTACTAGCTTTACCCTAGGAAAGAGGAATCATGACAATTCAGAAAGAAGAAATGCTAGGCTTTAAAAAACCCACCTAACTGAGACTCTGAGAAAAACATGGCAACCAACGGAAAGATGATGGAAATCGGACCCTGCAGGAACTAATGAAAACTGCTTAACAAAGGTTTTGTAAACAGAAATGAACGAAGGTGCTACACCGGGGCTACAGTCAAAACCAGTTCATAAGCTAAGGAAATGTCAGAAATACCAGAGTGTTGCCTGGGAAGACATTCCCAGGAGAATGGGGAATGTCTCCTGGGAAGAAAAATTGAGGAACAATGACAGCAGGAGGAGAAGGAATTGAAATTATATTTGGGGGGGAAAACATGCCAAGCATAAAGAACAACAAGACAAGGAGCTCAGATCCTCTGCCTCTCACTGCAGCCAGAAGTTGTACTTCCCATGATTACAGGGAGGAGAGTTTCCTACAGGGCCTACTAAACCCAGGAGTTTTCAAGCATGCTAATTTATAAAACTGGAAAAAAATCAGCTAATCTGTAACCTGAAATTGTGAGGCTGTCCACCAGACACTCGACGTAATATCTCTGGACTTTTCATGAAAAGTGCTAATATATGATAAAAATAAATTATTGTAAAACCCTAAAATCCTTTTCTACCTTGGATAGGTTAGAAGAGGGTGACCCATTCTCAACGTCTGTATGAGCTGCACAGGCTCCCCTGCTCTTCACATTAGAGCACAAAGCACTATTTCTGACATAATAAAATCAGCATATTCAGCAATAATCTTCAAAGAGTAATGAAATTTTAATGTTCCAGAGAAATGCCACAAAAAACCAGAAAAAATTGAAATTTTCTAGGAGGCTTTTGTACTTAACACCTATTCAGACCTTTGATTAACCTAGATATTAAAAGCCACTGAATGCTGGGATAGGTGGTTTTTTTTAAATAAAATAAGATTTGAATAATACTTTTTCACAGAGAAGCAGCAGATTATGGCATGCCTTTGGGAGGCAATCAAAAGTTATTTGTCAAAAATACTTCAGTATAAGTGCAAACAATTTTTTCTCCTTAATAAATACACTTCAGAAATGATGTAATTTATTTGTTTATGCACTTTAAACAGCAGGAACAGTAAAACACTTCCTAATTATTTTTTCCTCATTTAAATTAAAATATTTGGAAAGAAATGTTTAAAACATTGACAAAGAAATTAATTCAATACTATATTTTATGCAATTTTACAACCAAAGATTTAAATTTCAAGCACTGGACCTGCAAGAGCTCTTAAAAATCTAAGGTTATTGCAATTTCACACTGTGGGCATCAAAAACTGGGATTTTTTTGCAAGCTGGTGCCTGTTAAGCGTTTCTGAGAAATCTTGCATTGATAAGTTTCTTCTCTAAACGCAGCACTGGAACGGATAACAACAAAAGTCAGGTTCAAACCCTTCCACAGGTGCCACATAGCAGACAGTCACGAAGACTCTTTAGAACTTGGTTTCAACGACTGCCTGTGTGAACCTGAATGAAGGAGCATAGCTGTAATATCCTTCAAAATGAAACAAAAAACATCTTGCATAGGCTAATTAAAATATAGGACAAATGACTCAGCTGGAAGTAGAACTCAGGAGCTGAAAATTCACTTAAGGAGCAGTGTCTGGATCACCTTCATCCCAGCATTCTGAAAGAATGGGGACATGAGATCAAAGCTCCAGCAGAAAGGATTCTTAATAAATCTATAAGCTCACAAGTGGAAAACAGCAAACATAGTGCCTGTATTTACAAGGAGAAAAAAGCAATGAGGCATATGTCAGGCCTATGAATATGATCAAAAGCCAGCATGCTACTGAGAATTCTTTCCTGCAAAATTCAAAGACAAAGAAGAAAACAGATCATCAAAGAAAACATCACATGGGCTCACCAGAGGTAGAGTGTGCCAAACGCACTTGATTTCTCTCTTTGACAAGACAGCTCATTTTTCTAGACAAAGGAAATGCTGGAAGTTTACATGGACTTTTGATACTGTGCCATATGGGATATGGACTTTTGACATTGTGCCATATCGGTTAAGAGGGAAATGATGGGAGAGGAACCAAATACGTAGACAGCAGAGGTAGCAGTGGGTTGTGCAGAACTGAAAACTATCAGGTCAGAAGAAGGTTACTAATGGAGTTCCTCAGGAATCAGTCCTTGGTCAAAGCTTTTGAATTTTCCTTAATTACCCGTATATCAACAGAGCATGGTAATGAAATCACCTGGTAACACCATGTAACACCACTTATACAGAAAAGGATTGAAATAAAAGAACTGGATAACCCTGAATGGGTACCGATAACGCCATGTAATTTAACAGCAAACAACAACAAGACATAGCGACTAATAAAAACACATAGGGACTAATAAAAACAAATTCTCCAATGACCTGGAAGCTGTTGGAAAAAATAAAGACAGAAATGAGCCCTTCACATTACAACTGAGTCACCAGTATGAAGTCCTGAAAGAGTTGTTTGTAGTCCTAAGATGCAAGAATCAAAGTGCTCCCTAGCAGAGACAAGTGAAGGCATTTGTACAGGACCCCAGCAAGAACAGGGTACCGTGCTGCAGGCTTACTTACAGAAAGATGAACTTGAACTGAAGTAGATGTAAAAATTAAAATATGAAAAAGAAGAACATGGAAAACTTGCTTTGTAAAAGGAGACTAAAATATATTGGATGATTCAGTTTAGCAAAATACTTAGCCAAGATAAGATTGCTCTCTATAAATACATTAGGAGAGGTAAATTCCAGGGAACTATAAATGCTAATGGGCAATATCAGTAGAAGTGCAAGTAGTTATAAAGTGGCCATGAACAAATTTCAAGTCAGAAATTAGATAGCAGTCTTTAACCGTCAGAGCAATGAAGTTCTGAAATAGCCCTTCTACTGGAAAAATGATGCAGGAATCTAGCTGGTATCAAGAAGGAGCATACATTAAAACAACAACAACAAAACAGATACCGTGGTCCAAATTTTTAAAAAAAAAAAACTAACTAATGCACTTCAAGCGTCATGTCAAAGCACACAAAGCATTGCAATGTTCCAAGGATTCTGGAACACAGGTGCTTGCCCTGTACGTTTAGCTAACCAGAAACTATTGCAGTTTCTTTTGCAGAAACACTACATCACACTACAACATTCTGTTTCCTGGTCCATTCTAGTCCTCATCTCAAGGATCTTAATATTTTCCCTACCCTATCCCATGATCTTCTTTAATATCATAAGATATGAATAAAGAATTTCACTGTTCCTCCATTTTTTCCATAATCTGCTCTATATCGCAACAGTTTTTATTTTGACTCCATAATCTATATGGAACAGTTCTCTATATCGCAACAGTTTTTATTTTGATACTCTGCCGGCAGACGAACAGATGCCAAACATATCAGGGGCATCTTGGTGTCTGCTGGGTTTTGCATCTTCCCTTCCTCCACAATATTTTCTAGCATTTTAATTACAAGAGCAAGTGGTTGCAAAGCAAAACACATGAAAGAACTGAAGTGCTGAGGACTATAGTCAGTGAATGAAAATCGCTAGATGGAGTAGGAATTCATTTATCTGCTGAATAGAGTATGACAGCACTTCTGGTCTGGTAAAATGACCGTCATTCATTATTATTCAGTCATGATGATCTGCAATGGCTCTTGGACTTCTGCATGGAAAATACTGCTTTCCTAGCGCCCTGTTTGTGTTTGCCTTCCTTCACATACACATCAATGTGAAAGATGTTTTGATAGTGAGAAAAATGATTGGTCTCTGAAAGGTCATGAATCAATAGGTCATCATCTATCTGTTGCTACAAAATCTGTAATGCAGACAGCTATCATTCATGTATTCAGGGCCTACTGGACAGGCTGGACCAGGGTCAATGTGCAGAAAATAACACTGACATAACTGTGGTATGGAACAGAGCTCCTACCCATTCTCTTGGGCAGGAAAAATACTTTGGACCACTTCTTTCCTGGTTATGCTTCTGTTAGCACACCAGTGGAAATGTCTCTTTGATGTAAGAATACAGAGATCAGGAAAGGTGCATAATACTCATTTTTAGGAATATAGGATTTTTTTTTTAAAGCAGCAACAAAGAGCCTTTTCTCCAGACTGGTATACTCATATTCGGTGGTGGTGTAATGCTAAGTGAAATTCCCAAGGACCTACGCTACTTCTAGCCACTCTGAATCATAAGACCAGCGCTCCGGGCACACAAATAGCACCACGGAAAGATTTAACTATCAACCGAGCAGGTAAAAACTGGCTTTCAGCATGCTCTTGACAGACTGATAGGACATCCTAGAAATGCCTTATGAACATGACAGATCCTAGTAAGTCGAGTTTTCCTGTTGTTGTTGTATGCTGTTTTTAAATTGTACTTGTAAAGAAAAATAGCAAAGGCAAGCAAAGTGGAAAAGCAAGAAGATCAGCAGCTTCCAAGAGGCAGATACCAAGGACATAAGAAAACAAAGAAGTGCTGTATGGCTGAAGGAGGTGTGGGGAAGGTAATTTGCTTCTTCACATTAACTTGTGCAAATATGTGCTTGTCACAAAATTAGAACACACTGTATCTGGAAAGATAACTCCAGTTTTGGTAGCTGAATGCAATACCAAGGACACTTTCTCCATACACATCATGTGGAACACCCAAAAGCCTCCTGCCTGCAACACGTACCAGCAAATCCACTGATTCCAAAGCTGCCTCAGCTAGTCATTACATCTGATCTACCATGAAGTAATAGTGTATTCACATTTTTCAAGAGAAATTCTTAGACTATTTCCACCTGGTAATTTTAGTGAGACAAAAGAGATAAGTAATCATTTTCACAGTGGAAGACTTTACCTTGCAATAACAGGAAAACACACACACAGCCTCTAAACCCTTGCAATCACATAAAACAAGTGCAAAGTGCTGGCTGCTCCTGCGCAAGCCACAGTGAAACAGCAACGTTGTCTTCTAGTATGACTGACCAGAGGGACAGTGGCCACGCTCTCCTGGTACAATTGGGGGAGAGGAAAGATAAGGAGGAGGAGAAAAAAAATAACAAGGGTCTAATACTGAAGTAGAAGTGCACTAGCTGTTAGAGCATGAGCTTTCATGTATTTTCTTCATAGCGGCTTTGCAGAGATTGTTCACTGTCTCAAGAGTTGCCTGTTGTTTTGGCATAGTTCATACACATCTTCAGTGCTTTTTCTCTGTCATGAGCTTCTCTACTCTTATGGTAAACTAGGAGTTTGTGAAATCAAAGACGTTCTTTGCCCATTTCCCTCTTTATTCTAATCCCCATGTTGTCACCTGGTATAAGAGTGCTTTTTAAGGAAACTCTACCAAAGCCACTGATAAGAAAAACATTATTAGACTTAGAGCAAACAAGAAAGGATAAGAAAATGCCCTAAAACTTCCCTAGATGTTCACAGAAATATGAATAGAGTTCAGCTGCTCATAACAGGAGGATTATCAGAAGGCACTTTTCTATGGTTTGAAGGTATGCATAAGTCTGGAAGAGAGAGTGGGTATAACCTGTGTAATGAATGTATGGCTAATGGAATAAACATGACCAAATTTGTCACTGTTGCCTATAATACTGACTAATATCTTGTTCAGAGGAGCACAAAAGCTCACAGAAAACAACTGCTTGCAGTAACCTAGTATGTTGAAGGCCTCCTTGCAATAGTGACCAGAGGCTGAAGAGTAAGATGGGAAATGCCTGCCCTACTGAGGCACAGACACAACGTAGCTGCTTTCTAAAAAACAAAGATTACAGAGGTGGAGAGTTAGGGGCGCAAGAACAAAATCAAAACAATAACTAAAGAAATACGTTTTAGCACTGAATACCTGAGATGCTTTTCTTCTTCCTAATCCACATCTCTGGCTCATCTGTGTGGAGGAGGTTCATAATCCTCTGTGAGGCCTTCATCTTAACAATAGCAGCAATACTCCTGAAGATATTTCTTCAGGGTATTGCAAGGTATCTGTTATCATCAGTAGGTATGTCACCGGGCTGTGATGCACGTCAGAAATCACCAACACCAACCATCCAAACTCTGCACTTTTCTTACTGTTGCTTATCTGATACTATAGTTATGCACTAACGTATCAAAAATACATTACTATGTTACTCGGTATGCTTTGATGGCTACAGTAATGTATCAGAGAGTCTTTACTAGTGAAGGTGATGGATTTCCAAAACACGCAGAAAAGTACGCACGCATGCAGGAATATACCTTATCGTCCCTATGCAGCAGAATTTTCTTTTTGTAAGTCAGAATGGTTACTACATGAACAAAAGAACCATAGAATTATAAGCAGAGTACCCTTACACTGAAGAAGTAAATGCAGCAGCTGCGAGGGAACGCACGGTACCTTGGAATAAGCTCTCGCCAAGGATTTACGTTATTCAAGGAAGTGATTTAACATGACACCAACATAAACAAAAGGCTTTATCGATAGGATTCACGGTCAAGCGTGGATAAACACAAAACTATAAGATAACTTAACCACAAAACTTTGTGGTGCAGATCAAAGCCATGAACGGGTAGCATTTTCATCTGAGGAAAAGCATTCCTTACGTAAGGAGATTTTTCCATCCCGGTGAAATCAGGAGCCCTCAGATTATAACATTTCATCATTTTAAGGGCAATCTTTCTCTGTAACCACTTTCCCTATATACCTGAAAAAACAGGTGTGACCTCCATGAAGATACAACTACATTCACGCACTGCAAACCAATCTGATTTTGTCACTGAACCGCAGCAGTAGATATATTTAGCCGTTGTAAAAAGGCCTACATAATATTGTACCCCTATTACCCAACAGGACATGCAGCATAACTTTAAAGGTGTCATGCAATTTCTGTAACTAACAGAAACATCAGAAAGATCAAGTAGTTTCAACACGTAGTGCATAGGCGGATGCATGCTCAGATATACCATTTACATTACACCGCTTTAGAAATGAGATTAATTAGCTACGAAAAGCATTTACTATCCTTGTCCCAGATCCCACAATTCAGTAGTCAGTGCAGG